CACCCTGTGTCCAGTACACCCAGGTGATAGGTAATGGTCAGGATTGTAGCACTCTGCCCACCATCGACATCACCAGTGGGAGCCACTGTGGACACTGGTGCTTAGAGACAGACAAAATCCAGATTTTTTTTAAAAAAGTGGAAAATGCATTTAATGATGAACAAGTACTTGGTGTTGAAAATACCTTTAAATCAGTGTGTTCCTGCTATTACATTCATGTCATACACAGACTAGTGTTTGAACTACAAATAACTGCTAGTGTTTCAGATCTCCATTGCATCAGGGTTATATATGTATAGTTTGGATTTTTAATTAGGCAACTTCACACTCCATTAGCAGTAAACAAGACTGAATTTAAAGCTACACCTCCAAGATTAGTAAAAAAAAAATTGTTCTCATGGCTGAAGAAAAACACAATTCTGAAATAAAAAGGCAAAATGATAAACATTTATTTAAGTTTTTGTTTTTGGAGGTTTGAAAGTTAACAAAGACTTTTAAGAACTTTTTCTAGAAGCATCAGGAAATAAAGGTCTCTTCTGAAAATATGTAACAACCAAATATGCAAATATTTATTATTTATCAATACTAAATATAGACTTACAGTGTGGAAATATTTTCTGGCATAAGGTTTGCCTTTTGATAGTTATTTTCTCGGAAATTTCATAGAGAAAAGTCTATTTCTATTTTCAGTAACGTATGGTAATTATACTGATTGCTCTGAGGTTCCAAAGTTTTAACTAACTCTTTTATTATACAACTAGAAAATATATAATTTTTTATCAGAAAAAAAATTAAACTTTTTGTTCTATCTTAATAACCTAATAACAACTGAACACTAGACAATTAATCAAAAACAAAAACATACTTGAAAATTTTGTGAACACACTTGGATGTGCACACTTACACATATGATATGTAAATATGCACACACGGAGATCTAAAAAAAATGTTTGCAACACCTAAGACAGTAAATTTCAGAATAATAATTACAAATTCTGATGTAAACCCCGAAAGAAGTTAGTCACCTAAAATAGCTAAATATATTTTTCTTTGAAGTCCATGCCCTTGTTACTGATTTTAGGAAATGAAATACACTAACACATTATATAAACATTTTTGCAGACAGTCACTGAACTTTTTTTAATTGATGAAATATGGAATGTCACACACAGAAATACACATCCTTCTATCTTTTCCATTCTCAAAACCACTTTCTGAATGCTGGCAAGCTTTCATTATAAAATAGCTAACTTACACTTTCTTATATGCCAAAAGAAAGTTACATTAAAGAGATATTGCTAGCTTTGTGATTTATCAATGTTTCAGCGTACATTTTCTGTCAAGTGTATTTGCTCAAAATCTTAACATTGTATCTGCCTTTGTATCATTAAATATATATCTTTAAGACTGACCAAATAAAACAAAAAGGTAATTAACACACTCTAAAATACATATTTTCACACAATGTAGTACTAGCAAACATGCCCCACTTTTTAGGTATAAGCCAGCCTAATAGAAAGCTCTTAATGTTTGGAGGATTTTTAATAAAAAATGTATCTTCTATTTTTAAAATATTTAAAGCAATAAAAGTCTATGGTAAACATGGTATTACATATTTGACATTTTCCACCCAGAAATGCATTACTGTGTACGATGGTATTAATAAACCATGTGCTTTGAGGGACTTCTGTGCTTTGACATAATTTAGTTGAAAACAGTGTGTAGAATGCATATTTTTCCACCATCGTATCAGCATATAGAAAACAAATACTATGTCATCACCTCAGCAGCATGCATTCACTGTATTGGAAACATATGCAAAAAATGAAAAACTTTTGAGAGTTCAGAAAATTCCCTTTGCCAGAGACTGATTTACAAACCAGTGGTTAATGACAAAGTGTTGAGCACTTAAAATTTTGTTAGAAAAACAAAAACAGGCACCCTCATCTGACTCCAACTGCATTCATAGGAAAACAGCCCTCCCTGTTCATCAGAACAAAATAATTTAATTTCTTTCCCCACTTCAGGTTATTATTTGAAGCAAATGAAAAGACAATGATTCTTCTCTCTTCCAGCTAAAGCTCAAAACAGCATGGTTAAAACACACATATAAAAACTACAGACTTATCAGAAATCACAAAACAGAAAGAGAAGGACTCACTGACCCATTTGGAAGACAAAGACGACAAAACGGAAAAGCTCTAAAAATCAGCTTGTGAGGCCTTTGAGAGATATTCTTCTGGCATTTCATCACAGCAGCCCCAGACCAGTTCACTTCCCTGGATACAGGGAGGGAGAACTAAATAGAGCTGTTTATTAAAGCTGTTGTGCTGGATTGCATTAGGAAGCACGAGCAGACCACCTGGACCTTTCAGATTGTGGCAGTGTTTAATTTGCAGGCTGCCCCTCTGCAGCAGCAAAGACTACTACATTTACCAAGCTCGATCACACATTTCTGGATTAGGAGTAAAAGAAGAAAAAATAAAAAATAATAATAATTTTGAAAAAGCCACAGCCTGTAGTACAGGAAAACAGTCAATATAGAAATAATGAATAGCATTAGAAATAGAAAGCAACTCCCCAGCAAACATAACAGTTTCACTCCTCAGTTCTTCTACTTCAGCACATTTAAACAAAATAAAACAGCAAATTATTAAATACATTGATTTGCCAAAGCTCAGACTAAATTATAAACGGGGTTTATTAGAAGAAAAGCTTGGTAATTTAGGTTTATCTAGTGATTCCCTGGCCAGATTATTGTGGTTCTTTTGCCTTTCTCACTTTCAGTACTACACTCGCTGGTAGCTGAAGATACAGATAGAAAGATGGTACTGTAAATATGAATTATGTGAATCATATGGTTAGACCCTTGTGAAAAAAAAAATAAAAGGGGAGTTGAGAAATGGCTGACTCCATACCTGACCAATTACAGCTTGCATGGTCCCTGTGTCCTGCTGAGCTGAAAGATCGCAATCCATCATATGTAGTCTTTGAAAAGGAGAATGGGGGTTTCTGGCATGCATCTGTCAATCAACTTCTGCACTCACAACCATCACCAAAAGCAAGAGAAAAAAAGTCAAGCTGCTCCACCAAATAGGATGAAACAGTCATGTGACCTTCAGCACACTCACACACATACATACTTCCATGGAACGTATGAATTTTCTGCAGATATGAAATGACATTGACAAATACCCAATACCAAGTAAATAAAGTGAGACAAACAGCTATTCACCAAAGAGAAAACACTTGCTGTAATCTTCAGCCTAAAGATTTAATATATCTAAAAGGTATTTTAAGCCAAGGGTTTTCTTTTGAGCCTAAACTTTTCAGATAAGGTGATATGATTTTATATATGCAGACAGTGGTCAGAACTTTAACCCCTTGTGTTCTCTTGCAGCCTCTATTTTTATTCCCTCCTTTATAGTTCTACTTTATGGCTGTTTGAGTGCTTGATTTATTTTCTTTAAGTTTCTTTTGTGTCAAAGTGAAGTGGATTGTGTTGCCTTCTTCGAATGTGCACAAATTATAAGAACTAGACAGAAGAAAATTGCTAACAGGAGAAAAAGGAGCAGGGGCTGAGAAACCTGTGCCTGTAGTCACAAGCCAAAACATGTCTCACTGCTTTACTCCACAAGAAGTCAAATGTTTTCTTTACTGGAAACATATATCAAAGTATTAGTTTATGTGAGCTGTGATGAGCATTCAAAATATAAAATATTCAGACTATGTAAATCCTACTTACAGAATCCTTTGCATTTTGAAGGTTAGCAGAGTTTTGGTTCATTCACTGCTCCACTGAACTGACATAAAATGTAGTTACTTATGAAGGCAAACATTACCATTTTTTCTAATAGAAGCAGTTTGTTTCATATATCTTCCCCTCTGAGTTAAGATTTGCAAGAATTTCCGAGACTATTTTTTCTTCTTGTCAAAATATATCAGCCACTTGTCTCCAAAAACTGAGTGTCCTGAAAAACACACTGCAGCATTGATTGCTGATATGCTATTGGCCAGTGATTTCTGAAGGGTGACATTAATGTAACCTGGTAGCACTTTAACCCTTTGAAGATCAATACAGTCCTCTGGAAATACAGTAGAATAACAGCTCATATACTTTTTGCTGTATTACAGCTTCATATAAATCTTAGTGCATCTTTCTGTCCTCCTAGAATTGCATTTCAGTTACTAGTGCAAACAGCATGCTTTCCAAAGATTGTCAGAAGTCAAAATGCAGAATTAAAAGCAGTTTAGTCTCTAAGCTTAAACCTAACACACCCTTTCCATTTCAAGTAAATTTCTGGCAATATTTTGAAGTTATTATCTCATTTTTAAAGGTATTGAAAATATTGATCTTAGCTGTTATAGTCAAAGAAATGTGAGAATATCAACAATATTCCAATTGTAGGCACAGCACTTGCCAGTCTAATATTTCCTACAATACAATTTTAAGATCCAACATGCAGGAGTGTTTGGAATGTGTATGTGTATGTATGTATGTATACATACATACATATATATATATACGCATACATAGATACATATATATATGTATATGCATGCAAGTATAAGACAAATGAAATGGGTGTTGAGGGAGTGAGACAGATAGGGATCATCCAGTTTACATTCTTTGAGTTTTTAAAATACAATGTTATTTTTTTAAATTTTTTAAGAAAAAATTTAAGAAAGGAAATTTTGGTATGTATTTAAAAAATTAGAAACAAGAAGAACTGACATGCAGATGCATGGGGACCAAGAAGTGTTCCTAGGTCAGCGAGATATTTTAGCATAACAAACTTTTCAGATTCAGCATTTTTAGAAAGATATACAGTATTAACACTGAAACATTGCCTTGGGATGGGGAAGGAGTACTTGAAACGGTGCTGCCAACATCTGCTTTGCATCTGACTTACATTTCATTCAAACATAATTAAAATGCACCATTTGTGCTGAAATCTTATCTGCTTCTTACTCTTGAAGAAAATACACTGAACTAATACCTTGGTCTGCCTTTTGGTCAGCTGAGAATTTCCTGTAGACTCATCCTTCAGGACATTTCTGTGGAAAAACCAGGCAGTATTGTGAAGGCCATAATCAACATCCATATCATCACAAGCAATTCAAAATACAACTGATAAGTGGGTGAGTGAGTAGAGGAGATTGCCCCGGCTGTCTCCAGGAAAACACATACACAGAAGTCAAATACTGCATGTGAAGCTGAAAGGAAAGTTAAGGATGCCTATTTTATAGTTCCTCTTCAGGAGGAGCCTTTTTGCAGCGAATATGCACAAACACCTATCAAATTCCCTTAACTTATTTAAGTAACTACACTTGGCAATTACCACTGCAGGGTTTTTATTAGCAAAGACACTGACATAGACATATGTTGCAGCACATAAATAAGCACAGCATTGTATACACAAGTCTGTTGCACCCTTATGCACCAACAAACCAACCATCGCGTTGTGCACACTCAGAGCTGAAAGAGCTTCTTCCTCCCAAAGTGAGATATGTGCTGCCTCTCTTTGTGCCATAATTAAACTATACTTCCAGGAAATGCCACTTTATGCCCCAAAATGTAAAACAATATCCCTGCACCTAATGCCTCTGCATAAGTCATGTCACTACCGTTAACCTGAACAGCTGTAAGAGCCTCTTCTGCTACCCCTGAAGCTGTCCTTACCTCTGAGGAGCTGGAGATCTTTACTCTCAGCCACATCTACCTGGTCCTGTCTGTAGGGGCTGCACAACTGGTCCCTGGTCACTGTTTCAGTTTTGCTACTCGTCCTTTGGGCTTTCCACAGGCCATCTCCTATGAGGTGTTGGTCCAGTTTTGCCTTTTTACTTACTGTAAGGAATTCTCTCCCTAACATGTCATCCCCTCCCCCCACAACCACACATTTCCTTTGCTGCTAAAAAGGTAATTTAGCTCTCTTGTCAACAGTCAAAAAGGTGAGAGATCAAGGTAGCTCCTAATCTGCCACAAGCAGACTTGGGTGGAAAGCTGGGTGCAAAAGGGGAACTCACTGGCCAGGTTCCCTTTAGCACTGGCAACTTGAGGAAAGCTACTGAAGGACAGAATGACAAATACTACTTACAAACCAGCTGTGCTGTATCCCTAACAGAGACCTTCTGGTCTCCTTTGAAACTTTTTATCTGTGGCTCTCCCTCAGCATACCCAAGAGGAAACTGCTTATGCAGCCACAGCAATATACGGCAGCTATGCCTTCCTATATGCATGCCCCTTCAGCACCTGGCACAAAGGGACAGGTTTGCATTGTTGAACCTAAGATTATTGAGAGGGGGGCATTGATCAAGGCTTACACATTCAGGAGGCTGCTTTATCACTTAATCTGTGACAGTGCAAATTCAAAGTTATACAAAGCCTGTGTTTTGAGCTGCACACCGGATCTCTGACAGCCAGGAAGAGTAGCACTCCCCGGTGACACTGAATACTTTTATCTGCAGTAGATTTTCCCTTTTTAATTGAAAGAACAAAAAAAAATTAAAGTAGTACTTTTGAATAGAATAGCTTGAACTTACCTCTCAGCTACACACCTAAGAACTTGTGAAAATAGTATTACTGTCTATAGTAATTTGTCTTATGTCTTCCAGGAGAATATATGTTTTCTGGATGACAAAAACAATGTTTAGAATTATACAGCAATGCAAACCCTAATTACTTAATAGCTAAACTGTGTTAGAACACACATTCATTTTTAAAAGCTCATTATTTATAATTGTTTATGGTTCCTTACTTCACAAACTAGAAGCCTAGCGATCAACAGAGACCAGGAATTTACTAAAATACCTTTAGGCACTTGCTCACATGCCATAGCAGAGCTTGCAGCAGATGTAATGAATCAAGCAAGGGATCCTCCTGCTTCTTACAGCATTGGTACACTAGGGGGACTCTTTTTCCTCTTTTCTGGAGTGATGGATGCAGGGTATTGTCAGAGCAAGCTGTTGTGCCTCACACTACAGGCCCTTTACTCACCAATTAAACATGCAGGACTCAGTCTTGCACTCTTCGAAGACTAACAAGCCTAATTCTAAACAGTCAATGGCTCTTCCTCCCTCTCTCATTCTCTCTCTCCATCTCTGCCAAACAGATAGAATATTACATTTTGCATCTTCATTTTCATGGATATGTGACTGCGTTTTCCATATGGGCAAATTTCTGTCAATTTATGCTAATTCCAAAATAATTGTTTTGAGAGACAGTAATAGATTATGGTCTCTGCCTGTGCAAGCCCATTCTGGTCAATCATTTTTACATTTTGAAGGAAATTTTGCTATTAAAAAGACCTCTGATGCTTCTAATTTCTCCTCTTCCAGATTTCATTAATATATAATTTCTGAGTTTCTCCCACTCCCCCAGAGCTCCACTTTTCAAAAAACAAACCACTGGGACATATTCACTCACTTCAAGAATGGCACTTCTTCCCTTTATAAGTGCTCGATTATATCATGGAAACGTAATCCAGGAAAAGAAGATGCTTCTGTGCCTAAACTTCTAGAACAAGGCCTAAGTATAATCTACATTATACTGATTCCTGTGCAGCCATTGGGACAGCTCCCTTTCCATCAGTGCTTATCCTTTACTGTCTAAAGAAAATGTCTGCAAAAGAACTTTCTTTCTCTTTGTTGTTTTAGAGAAAAGAAGCTTGCTGTAGTGCTTTGTATCTTTGGAAAGGTGGGAATAAATTCTCCCCCTTTCCTTCTAGATCTAAGAAGCTGGTTTGACTGAAAACTTATTTTTGTTTCTCAGGGAGACAATTGTTCAACAGGTCTTACAGTTTTCTGATTAAACTAGAATTTATATAAGATGAAAATCTAGGAAATGGGACTGTGATTCTTTCTACATAGTGAACTACATAGTGAAGAGACAGCATCTTCCTCCTCTACTCTTATGTAAAGTGATGGGAGGTGATTGCAGCAATTATGTTAGAAACTAGTTAATCAGAGGACAAGCTAATCTCACACCTCTCCCAGGTGAAACAGAATTGTAGAAGAAAAACATGTCAAGAGGCAAGATAGATTAGCAAGAAAGGGTGATATTGAGTGGGTAAGGTTTAAGAATATACTTCCCAAATGCACTACTAACTATAGCATTCTAATAAAACCACATTCCTCACATCTCATGATGTCTTCTGCAGTATCAAGCACAATAGGGTTTTTAAGACATCTCTTTATTGGATATAGCATGGATAATAATGGATATTTACATCAGGTGAAGAACAGACTATATTTGGGTGAACTAACATCACTCAAGTAAGGCAAATAAGAAATCCAAACTGGCAAAAAGATGATTCTTACAGTGAATGGAATCTTCTTTTTCCAAAACTCTTACAAAATCTTTGTCAGGATTCAGAACATGTCAAGGAGAGCAGAAACGTCAAAAAATAAGGTATATTTTTCTGTTCATTGAATAACAGGCATTTATTAATGAGTCACAGTATTAACTGTGTAACTCTTCATATTGGTAATGCTTTTACCACACCAACAGGGAAAAGCAGATATTTTCACAGTGTGTGTGATGATGATTAACTTCTTATTCACTGGTATATTTGCTTTTATTTACTTGAGCTGTAAATTATCTTGCATAGCTCTTCTTTCCACTTCAACACAACACAATGAAGTGATAGCATCATCAGAGACCAAAAAAAAGAGTGGAGGTGAATGTGGCAGGCAGGGTGTGTAGTGCCAATGAAAGCACACATTTCCTACACACTACATATCCCTTAGATCCCAGCTCCTAAGTAGATGCCTCTCTCCCACGGAAAAAAAATAAAAAGCCTGAGTAAAATGATGTATCCAAATACCCGTGCTTCTCTTGCTCCAAGCACGGTACATGATATTTGAATACTTCATGTATAAGTAAAGGTACATTATATACAGAGAGGTACTTCCCAGTGTTACATTAGGACATCTCTCAGTGAGAAGTGTTTGATCTTCTGATAGTCAGTCCACATAATTTGGTTACAGACTTTATATCCTGCTGTGTATTGCACAGGAGAGAAAACGTGATAGGTTTGAGGTACTGAAAGAGCTGCCATGTACTAATTCTTCCTGAGTTTGTTTCATCTATCAGTAAACTGTGTTGTTTGCTTATGTATATACGAAAGTCAGTAAGTGATGACATTTATTATAAATGCAGTTAATAGAAAAATCTATATTTAAGTTTAGCTAATATTTTTTCCTTTAAGGTGTTTATGACTCTTTGCCAGACTTTAATGCTCAGACACCCGTTGAGGATGTTTGTGGTCTTCCGTTTGGCCATGTAAACCAGAAGCTTTCATGGTGAGGTAGGATGGGTTCATGGAGGACAATCAACTGATCGGTCAATGAATACTTTGACACTCTGGCTTAGGAAGTGCCTGAGCTGCAAAATATTGGAGGATGAAGTGCAAGAAGGTTGTCAGGGCAGCAAGTGCCTACTGCTCACTGAAGATGGGTGAGCAAGAAGCTGCTGGTGATGCCGGCACAAGCCATGCCCTCATGGTCCTCCGGGCCAGATGGGCAGAGCCAGCAGCTGGTAACCTGCTCCATCAAGAGCCTCTGATACATAGAGGGAATGAGCTGAGTCCAGCCAGGGAAACTAGTCGTGAATAGCGAGATACAGCCGGAAACAGGTCTGGAGACAGGGCTGTGTCATGGGTCCCAGGTCCATCCAGGAGACAGGGTAGGAGACAAGCTATGACCTAGGTCTGAGTGGTCCATCCAGGAAAGCAGCTCTCTACAGCTATCTATAAAGATTCTTTAACTGAACAGACATGCTCTGGCAGCTTTCTGCACTCATTGCACCAGCTTTGCAAACTCATTACCATGCATGTGCTAGGAGACTGTTTTTCATATTTTTGTCCTAAAATTAAAAAGAAAAATAAGTTCCTTTGTATCTGAATGATATCATTGGTCATTTCATCACACCGACCATCACAAGTGGTTTCAAGTGGGTGCATAAAAACCAAACTCTTCAGTTCTTCTTCCAGCTATTTTCCAGGTGTATAGGGCCTCTAAAGGGAGGCAGTTGCCTTTTAGTGTCAGATGCCCACCTG